GAGAGAGAGAGAGAGAGAGAGAGAGAGAGAGAGAGGGAGAGAGGGAGGGAGGGAGAGAGAAGGTGGACGGAAGAAGCAGCGAGAAGAGAAGCTCGACTCTTCCGCTCTGCCGCGGGCGACTCGAGCTCTCCTTTGTGCTCTTTCGTCACTCCTCGCCTCCCTCCCGCTATCTTTCTCTCAACCCTTCCATCACTCTCGCAACTCTCGCTTGCTCCCGATGCGTTTCTCTCCGAGCTCGGGTCTTATTTACTTCTTTGATACACAATGGCTGTCTGGACCGACTGTTATGTATCGCGAATAAGAGAGGGAGGGAAGGAGGGTGGGAGGGAGAGAGAGAGAGAGAGAGAGAGAGAGAGAGAAACGCGCTAATTAATTCCCGAGGCTCCCCGGAGACGCGACGAAGTGAGTTTCGTGGATTTCCCCGCGCACCCTCCCGCCGTCATTCTTCTCTTGTTCCGGCGATTGCGATCGCGCCGCTTTTATTTCACTTTCGCGAATGCAATCGATGTCTCGTTATCGGAATAATCGACTCGTATAGCCCGCGCGCGCTTCGTTACCCCGGACGGTGCCACCCCGACGCGCAAAAGTAGAAGATATCTACGCCGGCGAGAAACCGAAAGAGAATCGCGCGAGCGGATTTAAAGAGGGACGCTTATAATGACTCTAATGACACGTCGGGCGCCTGGAAACGCGGCGGAAGTTTTATCGCGACTCGTAATGGCGTATAAAACGCGTAATGTGCCGTGGGAAACTTGTTTAACTTGACGCGCCCGAGGGGAAGCGCTCCTCGCGCGCCGGGATCGAGATCTTCTCATCGAGCCGACGGCTGATCTTTTCGCGAAAGTTCTCGCGGGAAAACAGGAGATAAAAAAAGGAGGAAGTATCACGGGGAAATGTTATCGTGGTCTAAATTTCCTTCTTCTTCGCCCGACCAAGGCAATTCGGAAGGACTGAGAATCATTCTCCCAACGAGAGCGTCGAGAGAGAATCACGACGAGAGAAAGAGAGAGAGAAAGAAAGAGAGAAATGCTCGCGTGACACGTTCCTCATTATTTTCTTCATTGGGGGGTGGTGTACGAAAAGGGAAACTTTCCCGAAATGTCGACGACCAGGGGGTCTCATATTGCTTACGGAGACAAACAACGTGCAACAAATAAGTAAATGTAAAATCGTGGTCAGAAATTGTGGTCATGTTCACATTAATCATCTCATTGTCATGTCATCACGATCGTTAGCGTATTAAGAGACTCTTGCTTGTATCGAGAGGGGCGTATGCGAGAAAAAAGAAACTGAAAGAAAAGAGAAATATACACTGAGAGAAGAAAATATCCGAGGAATAACAAAGAATTTATTTGTTCGGTGGATACCAATAACATGTCATGTTTTCATTTATACTGATATAAAATATTGTCCAAATAAGAAGATATACATTTTCCTAAGACGTTAGCTTCTCACGAAAGCAACTGTTTGTCCCTCTTAAAGGAGAGAGTTTTGATTTACGTGAACATTCTCCTTGGTGCTCACCGAATAAATATCTTTCACCTTTAAGATATTTTTCTTTTAGTGTATATGTATATCTGTAGGAAGGAAATTGTTAGACATATGATGTATGGGAAGAGGAAGAGCGTGATAGAAACGGGGGCGAAAATAGCGTGAGTGTGTGTGCGTGTACGCGTCTCTGTCGTGTGTACGTGTGCGCATTAGGCGTCCGTTTATGTGCGTGTACTGCGCGTATGAATTTCCCATCGTCGACGGCGAGTGCGGAGAAGCGGAAGGAGAGCGGCGAACGCGGGAAATTGAGCGGGAGACGCAGGAAGATTCGAATCACGGGAGTGCCATCGAGAAGCGGATGGAGTGCGCTCGCAGGAGCGCAATGCACCGCGATATCGCGTATGAATGGACCAAACAGAGTGGGGGAGAGAGAGAAAGAGGGGGAAGGAGAAAAGAGGATCAACTCCCTCGTGAGATCGATATAGCGCGTTTCACCACGCACCGTCCTTATCGACTTTTCCATTTCGCGTCGAGAGAACGTGAGAAAAGGCCGTTTTCCGCGGAGGAAGAGCGCGAGCGAAATTGATTGCGTCTCCGTGCCCCCCCCCCCCCCCCC